TATTTCATTTCTTACATTATTTTATATCACAACTCAAAGGATAAAAAAATCTGCACAACAATGATACTCTCGAGGAATCTCTAAAATTTGAATTTACTGCTTCAATTACTTTTTCAATTGGTGAATTAATAGATAGTTCTTTTATGTTTTGACATCATATTATAAATCATTAATCACTTCACACATTGAGATGTAATTATCGTTTATATAGTTGATATTTTAATTTAATTAAGAGTATTTATTTTACATTCTTATAATTTAATATATATTATAAATCATTAATCACTTCACACATTGAGATGTAATTATTGTTTATATAGTTGATATTTTAATTTAATTAAGAGTATTTATTTTACATTCTTATAATTTAATATATATATATATATATGTATCATATAAAATCATTATATGATAATCCAACTATAACATATTTATCTTTAATTTTTTTAATCAATTTTATATAATTTCTATTTCTATATATTTTTATTTTCCAAATGAATATAAAAGAAATTAAATATTTAGAATTACTTTTAATTTTATATTACCAATTCTTCTTCTAATTTAACTATTATTTTTAATATCAAAATGAGTATTATTTTATTATTTTATAATTTAATATATATCATACAAAATTACTATATTATCATTACACTTTTATAATACGATAAAACTAAAATTATCAAAATACACAAATAATTTAACTAAAATTAATATATATAAATATTCGAGTAACAATTTTATAGTAAGATAGCACTAATATTATCAAAATAAATAATTAAAATCATACTTTAATTTTAATTTTAATTTTAAATTAAAATTAAAATTATTCTTTTATAACACACATTGTACCATCAAATATTTTTTGAAAAAAAAATAGTATGTATATTGCACGGGTCAATTGCTAATTTAATAGCTAATTTTTTTTATTTTTTATTTTTTTGGCGTCGTTTTTAGTCATATTACATTAATATCCTTGATAATACTTTTTGAACAATCTGCCATTTGAACGGAGTTCGTGATTTTTTTTCTAATCCAATGCCCACAACATCCTCCCAAGCCCAAATATGTATCTATACTATAATTTTTCTCTGTTTATGCCTTAGTTTAATAAATAGGTAATTTTAATAGGGTCAAGCTTCTCTCTAATCTGAGATCAAATTGAAGTGTATTGTTAGACTTGTTGAGACCCACTATAGTTTCTATTTCGATAATCCGAACCATGTAATATGTAGAGCTTGTTGAGTATTTCATCATTGTAAAAAAATCACGTTAATCGGATATCGATAGTCACTTGATCAAATTATATTTCTGTCAACGATAATATGATTTTCAAAATAAATTATTGATAGAAATCTGATTGGATCAAGAAATTTTTGATATCCGATTAATGTAATTTTTTACAATAATAAAACACACAACAACTGTAACATTAAACTGTTTGAATTGAATTATTGAAACAGATCTATAATGGGTCCCCTGAAACCAAACAGCATGGTTCAATTCACATAGAGAATCTGAGTCCATTTTAATACAGGCAGTGGCTTCCCTCCAGTCTCAGATCGGACTGAAGGGTGCTGTTGGACTCGTAAGGGCCCACTACGGGTTCTGTTTCAATAATTTGAATTATTCAATATGTAGAACTCATCGAGTCTTATATGCTTGTAAAAAATTAGATTGATCAGATATCGATAGCTATCTCATCGGATCAGTTTTCTGTCAACCGTTTATTTTTTCACCGTCTATTTTTTTTTATATAAAATTAATTTGATCACGTAGCTATCGATATCCGATCAACATAATTTTTTACAAACATATAGTACTTGACGAATTTTATATATCAATTGATTCGAATTATTGAAACGAAACCCGTGATAGACTTCTATAAACCTAACAACACCTTCTAATTCAATCTAAAACTGAAAAGAATTATGACTTTGCTCTCTCTCTCCCTTTCGTACTATCACAAATTTGTACTACAAGTTAGGCTAAGAAGTACATAGTACAAATTGTTGGTTTAAACCGGGAACAATCTCATTATATAAGAGAGAGAGAGAGAGAGAGAGAGAGAGAGCACCTTGGCTTTAACTATTAATGTAGTGTACAGTCTAGAAGGGTGGAGGTTAAGGTGCCGTGAAAAAAAGTCTTGTTTTGCAGCTTGGGTTAAAGAAGTTAAAATAAGTTTTCGTTTCGGAGGTGGGTTGGTTTTTTAATTTTTTAGTTTTTTAGATTATTTGAACATGGGCTCAAAAGTTTGGTTTGGGAAGGATTTTTTAATTTTTTGACTTTTTTTGTGAGAGAATAGTGTAATGATTATGGATTGGATGTGATGTTTTGTCTGTTGTGGCTCAAATAACCTATTCTGTCTTTTGTGGCTCAAAAAGTCAAAAGAGCCCAAATGAGCTCTTCCCAAACGACACCTAATTTTTTTTGTCAACAAATTATTTAAAAAGATAGTTAAAAGTTATTTATGAAATTATAATTATACTTTTTATATTATTTAAATGAGTCATATATGTGAAAGTAGTTGATTTTTGTTAAAATGAGTGGGGGTATTTTAATTATTTGATTATGATGTAATATCATAAACAACTATTACGTAAAAAAAAGTCAAAAAAATAACTTTTTATCAATTTTCTAAATAAATTTCTGAAAAAAATCAATAAAAATTAATTAAAAATCAAAAATTAACTTTTAACTATCTTTTTAAAATACCTTAGGTGTATCATACAATCAAGGAAGCATTCAGAGAGCAGCATTATGAGACTGACTTTATCACTGCATTCAAAGGTCCTTCCTTAGAACTCAAGTAAGTTTGTTTTTATTTTAGAAAAAATCTTAGAAAACATATATAAACCAATTATAGAATCGAACTCTTACATGATAATTTTTCACTAAAATAATATAGTAGTTTTATTTTTATAATTAACAAATATTTTAGTAGGTTTTTATTTTGGAGTGATAAGTTCATAATGTAGTTGTGTAAATATTTAATAATTTTAAAATATTATGTAAAATTACTTTGTACTCTCAACAAATGACACAGTATTATGGGTTAAACAATATTGTCAAACCTTTATTACGTTGTTAAGATATGAAAAATAACAAACCTAACATATTTTGAAGTTTCTTAATTATTTGAAATACTATCTCTTTTTTTCTTCCTTCTCATCCTCATCACCCTCATCATCATCATAACAATAATAATAATAATAATAATAATAATAAAATATGACTCGTTGTTTATTCTAAACCACCATTAGAAATTACTCCATGACCATAGAAAAAGTTGTGCAATACTGTAGTTTTATTTGTACAATTAACAAATATTTTAGTAGGTTTTTATTTTGGAGTGATAAGTTCCTAATATAGTTATGTAAATATTTTATAATTTCAAAATATTTTGTAAAATTACCTTGTACTCTCAACAAATGACACAGTATTATGGGTTAAACAATATTACCAAACCTTTATTAAGTTGTTGAGATATGAAAAATAACAAACCTAACATATTTTGAAGTTTCTTAATTATTTGAAACACTTATCTCTTTTTTTTCTTCCTCATCGTCGTCGTCATCACCATCACCATCACCATCATCATCATTATAATAATAACAATAAGATATGACTCGTAGTTTATTCTAAACCACCATTAGAAATTACTCCTTGACCATAGAAAAAGTAGGGCAATACTGGTTAGGTACATGTGCACCTTTGACCAAAAGAAATTATTAAAAATAATCGAGAAAATAGCATGAATCGATCATCTTCGTGCTTGTGTACACAATATATATATATATATATATATTAGTGGGTGGCACATAAAATGTGTATGTAATTTAAATAAATAAGTATAAAAATAAATAATAAAGAAATTTATATCATAATATATATATTGTCTAAATGGTAAGAGTGTTATTAATGAAACCCAAGGTCTTGGGTTTAAATCTTGTTCACGCTTTTGAATAATATATTTTTATTTCAGGGTAGGAAAATTTGCCACGTGGCAGAAGGAGAAACCACCACACTATTAGACACCACATCATGTGCTCACATATATAATAGTATAGATATATATGAGTAATCCTACGTATCATGAAAAAAAAATATCATGAAATGTATTATAAAATAATGTTATTCTTTGATTAGTGTGTGATGTTTTATTGTATGTTTAATCTAAAAATGAAGAATCTTTCATGATATTTTTTTTATGATTCCTAACATTATTATATATATATATATATATATATAAAAGCAATGCTACTATAATCTAAAAGTAAAATTTACTTGTAGTAGTTTATTGAAATATCTAATGTAACTATCTTTCAAATTGGTAGTTTATTAAAATATCTAATGCAACTCTTTCTTATATAAGAGTTTTAGAAATTATTATTTTTTTTTTTAAATTTAAGTATAAATTTTGTTGATAAAACCAATTTCAATTATTGTGACGATAATCGCTAAAAAAGTTGTCTCGAAAAGTCAAAAAATGAGTTATTAAGAGCAAAATTTTAAAAATGTTGCTAATAAATACAATTTTAGGGACAAAATAACTTGGTCCTAAAAATTTTTATTTTTTGACACAACTTTTGATCCCAAAAAGTTAATAATTTATTCCTAAAATGTCTAATTTTGTCATTAAAAATAAAATAATAACACTTTTACCGACAAAAATATTTTGTCCCTAAAAAATAATTTTGTACGTAATTTTTTGTCTCTAAAATCATAATTTCTTGTAGTGTATATTTTTCCTAGGTTAATCATTTCTCTTATACATTTAGAAAGTAGATATAGAGGATAAACTTATATATAATTTTTCTAAATATAATAATCTTATAATTATCATATTTTTAAATCATATTATTCTTGTTATTTATTTGTCAACCCAATATACTTGTAAAGAGTCTTATTACTCATGTATATCTTCAATGTAATATACTTACAATTTGATTGACACATCAAATAACCTCACTCATAAAAATATGGTAGAAATAACCAGGATCAAAATGAATTACTGTCTTTATTTTCATTGCCCTCAGATGTTTGTTGTTTACCCGAAAAAACACATTGATCAAAAAAAACTTTGAAAAAATGGAAAAATAAAAAGAAAAATTGCAAATCATGAACAAATCAGGACTAATTACTACATTCATCGATTTAAATATGAGCCGTTACATAACTTATGAGACAATACATAACTAAATTTAGGCTATCGATGTCATTATTCACTTAGTTTATGACTGTTTCACCAACGCTGACCATAACCATGGCCGATTATTGATTCAAGAATCAAACTCTATCTTGACACCACCAATGGTGACAGCACCAGCCCCATTCTTAGGTACCAAAGTCACCAACACACCATCATCATCCTCAGCTCCCAACTCCTCCAACAACTCAGTAATCCCCAACCTCAAAATTGTCTTGATCTTCTTCCCATGCTTATGCTTATGAGGCACATTCACAAAACTTCCAGCAAACTCAGTATTGTTCGGTCCGATCACCACCTCATGTTCATCATTAATAAACACATCAAACTTCACAAACACGTCTCGATCCACCTCTATTCCTTCGATCACCAGTATCTCCTCTTCATCATCCTTCTCTTTCTTGCTTCGAGATTTTTTAGGCCTCGGAACCATCACTCTCACCGCCTTGTCGAGTTTCTTGGGGAAGACTTCGGTGGCGGTGGAGGGTGTGTCGGCTGCCATGGCTACACCGGCCTTGTTTATTTTCCGGGAAAGTTTTGAGACTCCAGGAGTGGGGCGAGTGTTCAACCATGGAATATCCACGTCTTGATATACATATCCAAGTTTTCTCGTATCTAGACAATCCTTTACCTGTAAGAAAATTTTGAACTTATCTAATCAATAACAATAGATTATTGCAATTACATAATAATAGTAGTAGATTATTGCAATTACATAATAATAGTTTTAACAAATAATTGCGTGAAAAGTGGGTTGGTTACCGAATCATAAAAAAAATAAAAAAGTCTACAAAGTACTGCTAATTGAATGGAATGATTTGAATTCACAATTATAAATGTGAGTACTTTGAATTAAATTTATATTTTATTTTATTTTGTGAGAACTGTATGATATCACAAGTATGTTCAGTCGGTAGAAAAATAGTAACTATAAGCCAGCATTATTAAGAAAAATAATGTATCAATGTTCAGTCGGTAGAAAAATAGTAACTATAAGCCAGCATTATTAAGAAAAATAATGTATCAAATTGAATATTTTATTTTATTTTATTTTATTTTATTTTTTTAATACTAGACCCAAAAGTCTACATTAATTACATGCGAAAATATTGATGGATCCCACTATTTTTACGTGCAATGATTTAAAAAATAATTAGCCTTATTTTGTGAGAACTGTATGATATCACAAGTATGTTCAGTCGGTAGAAAAATAGTAACTATAAGCCAGCATTATTAAGAAAAATAATGTATCAAATTGAATATTTTATTTTATTTTATTTTTTTAATACTAGACCCAAAAGTCTACATTAATTACATGCGAAAATATTGATGGATCCCCCTATTTTTACGTGCAATGATTTAAAAAATAATTAGCCTTATAGTTTAGTCAAAGTCATGGATCTATTATAAATCTCATTTTAATAATACAAATTATTCATATTTTAAACTTCTTTAGTAGATCCTGTATGAAATTAGATTGATTCAATAATTAAAATTACATAATTTTATTATATTTATCTTTAAAAATTAATATACAATTATCATTCATTTAATAATAATATTATTTTAAAAATAATACATCTATTTTTTCAATACAAATATAATATAACTATATAGTTATAATTCTTGTATCAAGTTGATTGTTTTTTAAAAATCAATGAGTGAGATCATTAAAATGGAAGCTATGACGGGCTAATCACTCCTAAATATACTTTCATAAAAAGAAAATACGTTAACGTGTCTTTACTCTCTTTTTATATAATAAAAATATTTTAAATGTATAGTATAGATTTAAGATTAACGTGGTCACACTCATAATAATTATAAACTGTTACTTTTTTTTCAAAAAAATATATATAATTTTCTTGATAAATTTTGCAAATAACATTACCTTGACTCTAACAAGCTCAGCATTCTCATCATAGAACACAAACCCGGCATTCAACCAATCCGGGTCGGTAAAATCCTGCCGTTTTCCTCCCAACGTCTTCCATATGCTCCACATCCGATCTATATTAGCATGATGCCCAAAAAAAATCGGGTCCCGACCCGCGGAGTAAAAATTCCCCATATCCTCCAAATTAGGTTGGGTTCGATCCCCACACCATATATGGACCGGACCATGAGGAATATTCTCGACAGACCCAGCACCCGGGTCGGACTCATCTCCGGCCCGGTACGGACTCCCGAGAAACAACCTCGCACTCTTGCTATTCGACACCATTTGTCGATACATCACATTAAGATTACTCGACTTTTGCTGAGCATCGGTCGTAGTTGGATCCGACCCGTTGTAATCCAAGTCGACTAATGTGGGCGGCTGGTGTTTGGCATCGCGGAGCACGTCGTAGAGAGGGGAGTTTGGATCGGCATACATTGCCGGCATTGGCATTCCGTTTGGGGAATCCCAATTCCAGAAGGGGATAGCGAAAGACGGGTCACCAATCAGGCTGCCGAGAATTCTTTCGAAGAAGTGGAGGTAGTATCTATGGAAGGGGAAGAAAAGCCATGAGTTGTGGACTTGAAGATCGAGTTCGGGGAAGCCGACTTGGTGATAAGCTCCGTCGCAATAAGCACAGTGAACGTTGGCTTGTTGCTTGAAGCTACGAGGGTCGTCTTCGGGAAGTGCTTTCATTAGAGCAAGTGCTTTTGAGAACTTGGCTACGTACTCGGCGTCGGCTAAATGGGCCGCGGGTCGAACTCTCATTGAGTTAGACTGAGGGAACTTGAAATCGATGATTTTTGTTGCTTTGGGGGGACAACAATTTGTGGGTTTTGCACCGGCGGGTAAATCCGCCGCCCCGCATTTCGCTAAATCCGGTGCAGTGACCGGAGCAGCGAATGCTAGGGGGTTGGCCAGAATGGTGGCAGCACTGTAACCGCCTAACCCTAGAAGCACATTTCGCCTATCAAGCTTTCCTAAGAAAGTTTCTTCATTTTTGGAGGTGGTATTAGGGTTTTGATTATCGTTATCTGTGGATTTGCATGAGATTTTAAAGGAATGCCTCTGGTTTCGGAGTGTCGGGATTTGAAGGGTTTTTTTGAAAAATGGCGAAGAAGTTGGGGTGATGGTGGCGGTGGAGGCCGCGGTGGTGGTGGTTGAAGGTGGAAAAGAAGCCATGGGTTTGGGTATTGGGGTGTAGCCATTAGGTTATTAGCTATGCTTATATAATGGTTTTTAGGGTTAAGACTTTTCTATGTAATGACACAGACAGCTGGGTTGTTCAAGTTGACAAATAAAAAACTACAAACACCACGTGGTGGTGGAAAAAAATGACTTCCCAAGTCGTAGAAACTTGATTTGGATTTAATTTAACTTTTTCTTCTTTCTTGGGTTGCTAGTTTTTGTCTGATTGCGTTTAAAGAAATGGTATGTAAATCAGAATTTTTATTTTTTAAAAAAATGTTGAGAATTTTAATATATATAGTATGTAGAGTTTGTCTAACATAAATTTGTTCTATAATTTTAAAATTCTGAGTACTTTTTGAACAAATTTTTTAAAATTTTGAGAATTTTAATATATATTGCACCGTTTGGGAAGTGGTTTTGTGGGCTTTTTTGACTATTTTAGTCATAAAAGACAAAATATGTTATTTTAGCCACAACAAACAAAACATCACATCCAACCCATAATCATTACACTATTCTCTCATAAAAAAAGTCAAAAAAGTCAAAAAGTCAAAAAGTTCTTCCCAAACCAAACTTTTTAACCTAGGCTAAAATAGCCAAAAAAACTAAAAAGCCAAAAAGCTAACCCACTTCCCAAACCAACCCTTTATGATCTCAATTTAGGATATCTAATTTTAAGGCTATTGGATTTGTATACAAATAAAATTGATAATATGGCTAGTAATTCCTCTACCAAGGCAAAATGAAATGGTTCTCTTTTAAAAGAAGTCATCTTTGTTGATTTTGTCAATAAATGTGGCTTGCTTTACCAAATTTTATTAAGTAGTTTTTTTTAATGTGTAATGTGAAATTAATGTTATCCATTTTTGGTCAAGTACTTCAACTTATTATCATATAATTTGCAAGGGCTGATATGTAATTCATTCCTCAAAGACAACCTTCTGCTTTGTGCCAAGTTGTCTTCTAACCAGCTTAATCAAAGCAGGTTAATTAACTCGGCTCTATATATTGAGTGACTAATGCTTTTTTTGGATTGGAAGTACCATATCAATGTTGTTGGGCCTTTGTTATTGGTAACCCCATTTGACAAAACTCCTTTCAATTGTAATTTTGTTCAACTTTTATTTCAATAAAGTTATTAGTTTTTAGATGCGAATTCAACTCAAATTGTGCCTTACAAAGAAGTTTCAAAAGTTAATTCTTTCACGTTTGCCACTTCGCTGACTATGTGGGGAATCGGACTGCCCAGTCAGCTCGCGAAACTCCAGTGGGCAGCGCCCCATGACGGGTCCAAGGCAGCACCTAGGCAGGGTCAAGGGGCAGCTCCCCCCGAAACAAAAAGAAAAATTGCAGTCGAAACTGTTTGTCCGCTCGAGCGGAGAAGTAATCCTTTCAGAAGTTTCACTCGCCTGCAAAAATACTGGGAGTTGTATTTTTTCGCTCGATCGGCCTTTCCTGCACTCGAGCGTAGATCCTTGTTTTGAAACACACGTTTTAGTCAGTCTGTTTGAGCAGCCATTCCTGTGCTCGAACGGAGATCGCAATTCTGATTACTATAAATCCGCGTTTTAGTCTGTTTTTAGCGTGCGGCTTCCACATCTTATTTTTGTGTATTATAGGGTTTTCATCTGGAGTTTATTTACTTGTTTCCTTTGATATATGTGAGAGTTTATATCATACGAATTGAGATGATTATATCAAAGGGTTTGTTTGTTTTGTTTTATTCACAAAAGAAAGATTTGTTCTTCGGTGGGTTCCGTGAAATTTAGGCTTGAAGTTTTGGTGGATTCCAGAATGACTTCGACATCGGCGTTGTGGATTCAACATTAGGTAAAACAATTCCGAAGTAAAGACGATGGTGGAAGATGCATATATAGGGGTCAATTCAATTCAGGCGTGGATTCGCTAGATAATTGAGAGTATACCTATGTAATTCGTTTGTGTCTTCTTAGTGGATTATTTTGTGGCTTTTGCCTATGATTTTTTTATCACAATTGGAGGCGCTCCAATTATAGTTTTTCCACATTAAATCGTTGTGTTGATTTGCCTTTGATTGTTTGATTGGGATTATTATTTACTAGTTAAAATCGATATATAATCACAAATAAACATCTTAGGGATTTTTAATATTTTTCAAGTGTGTTAAGATAATACTCCTAAATTACTATAACTTAGATAACTTTTAAGGTTATGGACCTTGTCAACATGCTATTTTAGTGATTAATGAATAATTAACTGACCTTAAAGTCAAACCTAGTTGATTTCTTAATCTTAATCTTTAGAGTTTTAAGTATTTCTATTAGAGAAACACTATGGTGCACACCATAAGCACCTTATAACTAAAAAAAAAAAAAATGGCGTAGTCATAACTAAAAAAAAAAATATGATAACTAAATATAACATGAGACATAACTAAAGAACTTATGAGTCATAACAAAAATAATATCATAATTGTAAATCAAAGTATTATATTACAACGGGAAAAAATATCAGAATCATACCTTGTAGCGAAGAACCTCGTGGGTAAATCACATGCTTTCAAAATCTGAACAACGAACCCAACGGTGGAGTGATACTACAAAATGAGTATCACCCACACAGTCACAATGCAAAATGGCTTGATCATTGTTTTATGGGACAGAGTCAGAAAGAGAGTATGGGAAAAATGGTTATGGGTAAAAATCACATAACGTATATCTGATATACGTATCTCATAGATTAACCATATAATCTGACATATAACCACATATATATCAATCTATCCATCTATCCATATCTATTGATATGATAGATATGGATATCCTGAATGGTTATCCAAATAGGTTTTGAATTCAAATTCAAACTTATATGGATAAGGTTCAAAAGGTTCAGGTTCAAAGGGTCATGCCACATGGGTGCCCAATTTCTAACATCTCCCACTCGCACACGAGTTAGCATGACACTGCCACATCTCTTATCTCAATCTCCCAAAAAAAGAACAATCTCATACTAGTCAATGCACCGTGCGACTGCTGAGAACACCTGCATATGGGAGCTCTATACTAGAAACTCAAAATGAGCCAGCATAGAGACATCAACCCAAAAAGAACAGAAATAGTGTCTCATATACCCCAGACTCATCTAATTACACCGGTTCAAAAAACATCTCTAATCCCTCAAAAAGAGCATGTTTGACCCTCCCAATTCTTGCAATATATTCACACTCAATTTGCCTCTCATACAGAGCGATGTGAGTTGCCGGCAGTGAATATACAACAGTGGTGTAATACTAGATGATCTTCCCTTTGCCCTCATGCTATTTAGTTTAGGATTGACCGCTTTTCCCATGATGTCCCTTAAGGCCAAATCATACGTAGCCGCAGGCAACATACCAAAGTAGCAGAACATCAACCCCTTACCTTATGACATAGTCAAAAATCACAAAAGGGTACATAAATGAAAGTCATATCAATAATGACACGTATGACTCACACAGTGAGGAAACAGGGATTCATTCTCTCACATCATTACTCGGTCGCCAAGCACATATAGTATGAATACATGCTACGGTAGAGTAACTCTTCCATAAAGAGTGACGCCATACTCGATACACCATACAGATATTAGTCTAGTCGCTTTCTAGCGCCTAACCCGAATTCTCTATTTGCTCGCCTTCCAGGCGCCAAATGAGATCTTGCATCTGGCTAATCATAACAGGCACAACATAGAAAGTGGGTACTAACATCCATGTTTGGTCCTTAACACGACTTCATCTTGGTTGTAACCAAGGCGACATGTATAGTGGATTATTTAAGCCTCTCTTGGCTCCAAATAAAAATAAACAACTAGTCTCATCCTTGCTCGCTCCCAAGCGCCAAGGGCGATTGCTCGTGTGAGTGAGCCAATCTTGCCTGCTGACATCATCATCTGCTAATCATTATGACACAAACCACAATAGTGCCAACATCCCATCATCTCAAAATAAGTGATCGATTTAAAAAAAATTTGACCATAGCTTGCGCAATTATAGATTCCAAACATAAGCCTTACCAGCACCTCTTGCGATAAGTATATACAACGGAATCCACCATGTGCGCCTCACATGAAGTGATTTAAGATCACTACCTCTTACACAATAACCTCTCTAAAGATATTTTGGTGACCAATTTGCGTTCATTCTTAATGCGCCTAACTAGCGCAAATACGCCTAACTAGCGCATTGAATCTTACAAGGAGCAAATTAATATGCTACTAGTAAAGCATTTTATCCACAGTCTAATGAGCAAGGTCAATGTCTAAACAACTCAGTTGACCATTTACCAAAGATAACACTTATCATGCCGAATACGCCCACATAGCATACTTTAGGCTCCCACAACAAGGAAAAAATCAAGGAATATAGGTCATATGTTTCTCCCAAAGACAATCCGAGGATTCACTCAATAGCTAAGGCTTTGGCTTTTACCGATAAGTAAGTCAATGGGTTTGCAATTTTGCATCTAGAATCATTCTAGGATATTCCTTATGTAAGTCATCGAAGGCAAAATAGGAATTCTCCCAAAACAATCCCTAAAGATCGTACATCCGAGCATATAAATTACATCACCCATGTCCATCATATCTAAAACAGAGGACTGCCCACCCTAGGTGGCGACAACCCTATAAATTCCTGACTCATAATGACTAAGTAAGGAAAAACTTCTTTTGGACCATTGATCATGCCTCAGTGGTCTTCATCGATCATCGTTGGCCTATCATGGCTTGACGAAATCTAAGAACCACTATTTGGATAACTGTTTTAGGCTGTAAAAGATTTATTGGAACTAGCAACCTTTTTGCGCTCCTAACTTTTCACCATAAAAGCAGAAGGTAAATCCCTACGGATCTACTTATCCAATTCTCTAACGAGAAAGTTGGGTCACAATGTCTACAAATCAATGTTCCAAACTTATGTCAATCATAGCCTAAGTCAAAATAACCTCACTCCCTAGGAGGAAGTCTTTTCATGGTCTACACTTTCCTCAATAGTGCGACTTTTCGGTATCT